GTGAAGTGAATAAAAATCTACCTCATCAGTTCTTTAAGATGTCTATGCGCTGTTACATTGTATGGGTTTTCATGGGTGTCTTTATAAAAATAATTTTGCCCAATACCTTTTGAAACAAAGTTTTTTTTAAAGATAGAATTGTCCAGGGAAGGTCTTCAGGCATGACTGTTATTGAAACACAGAAGACCACGTACCTCGCAGTTCATATATGTGACTTGTTGTATGCTTACTCCCTCCATTTTTAACTCTTTCAGCACCACCTATGTAAATGTTTCCTCTTGTCTGAGAAAATCATATGGCTCATTCACACACTATTCACAATCTGATGTGCCTTCCCCCTTTAACTTTGGTTAGTCCTGTGTGTTACTGCTCTAGTTCTGTGATGGTCCCTTCTCAAAGCTATTCCCTTCCCCTAATTTAATGATCTTTGTAAATTAGAGGTGGAATTTCCCCCATTATAGGTCTTCATAAATTAGAACTGTAATTCACCCTCTTCACTATATGTGCATAGAGCTCTAAGCTTGTGAATGTCCTTCTTTTGCATATGTTTGGTTGCTGTTCCTCTTATTACCCAGTGACCCTTTTCTTTCACTTCAGTTCTACTGACCAACTACCAAATGTATCATGAGTTTTTAATAGAAATTTTCCATCCTTTTACATGTAAAGTACTGCAATAATTTCAAAACAAAGAAGTTAAGTAATTAACTACTACCGTGAGCCCAAATTACTCACTCATAGAACAAGTTGCACTGTGAATGAGAAGGCTTGCCTTCTGAAAATCAGGAGGCATCTGGGGAGTAGTAGCTCATGCAGTGGTATGAAGTGGACTCCACTCAGGTTGGATAACTCTTTCTTACTCTTGAAAAATTTAGACCATCCTTCCTCAGCCTTAAACTGTAGTCCAATCCCCATAATCCATGGCCATCCAGATGATTGGGCTCCAACTCTTATCATCTCCAGACATCTTACATCCAGGGAAGATAAGCCTTGTGACCTAAAACGTCCAGAGCCACAAATAGAGAGACAATTAATTTAATGCATGTAAACATGAAAAGATTACTTCCCATTTTAGATCAGGCATAACTCTTTTTTATCAGGAATCTGGAAATGTCATGGAAAACTTGTTAGTGCAATTAGTTCTCACATTCTGCACCACTCCACTCTCACCTGAATTTTAAAATAACCCTTAACATGTCTCCAAACCCTGATGTCTCTACAATCATCCAGCCCACTTTTAAAAAAATCAATTTGTAATTTTAAATTTAAAATAAACACAAAAAACTTAGCTAAAACAATTTTATTGTAGAACAAATAGTTGTCCTTGTCACAAAAAAATTAATAAAATGGACTTTAACTCAAGAAATAGCAAAACCAGAGCAAGTTTAATGTGGAGGGTGATGTTGTATCTTACTTGGAATTTCTTCACGCTCCCTATTTTGGGAATCAGTGCATTAATTGGCATATACAACAAACAGCTTTAAAGAATAATAACACTGGTCTACAGCCAAAATGTTTCCAAAGTAAATGTCGTCAAACTTTACTAATTCTGGGTCACTGAGAATGAAAATAATGCTTAAAGTTGTTGATTGGCTCTAGTTTTCAAGATATGCTATTAGGTCAGTAAATACAACCCTTGACTTAGGAATGGCAGAGGATAAGTGAGTTATAAAGGGAAGGGATCTCAATTTAAACCAGAAATTACTAAAATACATCTTTGATTGGATCTATGAATAAATCTATGATTGGGTTTGGACAGTACTTGCTTTTTAGACAGAACAATTTTAGCCTGCAACAACATTGATGGTGTGATGGCAGCCCTCAGCATTGTTCACAATCCAGATGAATGGAGACTAGAGGTGGGAATATTCGTATCCATAAACAAATACGAATATCCCCATCTCAGCGGGACATAATTATGGTCTAGCCATTAGGACCAGACCATTCACTTACATGTCCAAGTGCCAGAAAGGTCCCGCTCTTCCTGCCAGTGGCGCCAGGAACTCTGCTATTTCCCTGCTCAGCTGGCCACTGCAGGCAGGGGATGGGAAGATGAGTCTCCCCACACAGCTGCTGAGTGGCCACCCAAGCAGGAAGACAGCAGAGCTCCTGGCTCCATTGGTGGGAAGAGTGGGACTTTTGCAGTGCCGAGAAACATGAGTAGACAGTCCAGTCCTGGGGGCCGGACCCTCATTAGGTCTAGCTGGGACAAGGATCCCCATCTCTAGTGGAGACTGTTCATTGATTCAGCAAAAAAAAAAGTCTTTGCCATCAATTCCAGTTGGTCCTGTAGTCCATATGAAGGAAACATATGACAACGTGGAACAATTTTTGAGGTGCATAAACTATGACCAGCATCAGTGGCAGCTTTGTGGTGATGTGAAGGTTGTTGCTCTCTTGCTTGGTCTACAAACCGGATACACAAAATTATGCTGTTTCCTCTGCAAATGGGAGAGTTGTGCAAGAGATTCACGTTGCATAAAGACTGGCCACTCTGACAGTCATTGGAACCTGGGGGGAAAAGTGTTGAACATCCACCACTTGTTGAATCAAGGAAGATTTTGATACTACCCCTACACATCAGGCTGGGTCTGATGAAGAACTTTGTCAAGGCCATGGACAAAACACAAGCAGCTTTCAAGTACCTCCATGGAAAATTTCCAAGGTTACGTGAAGCTAAGATGAAGGAAGGTGTCTTTGTTGGTCCTCAGATTTGTGAACTTTGTCAGGATGATGCATTTGAGCATGCACTGCATGCCAAGGGAAAGGTGGCATGGAAAGCATTCTAGTTGGTGGCAATACATTTTCTTGAAAACAACAATGCAGACAACTACAGATTGTTGGTGGAAAACCTCCTCAAGGAATACAAAATCCTTGGTTGCAACGTCACTAAAGAGACATTTTTGCACTCTCATCTAGATTTTTCCCCATCAAACTGCGGAGTGATGAGCAATGAACAATCTCATCAGGACATTGGAACAATGGAGAAACGCTATCAGGGCAAATGGAAGCCTGCCCAAGAATGCTTGCAGACTATTGTTAGACAGTGACAAGAGATGCTGCATTTAATGAATACAAGAGCCGAGCCAAGAAGTGTCGAGTAGACAGTGAATGGGACTAAACTATGTACATAATAGTTTTTTGCCTTTTGTTTCATAATACATTTTATTTATATAATCCTTTTCCTGATTTTAAAGTGTTACATAAACAGGACAGGTGAAATATTATCATGTAAAGCAACCATAAACACATGAAAAGACTTAGGTTTCCAATTTATGACTACTATCTACACAATATATATAGTCATAAAATGTGAAAACTTAAATATCTTGGAAACAGTAGCCAATCAGTTGTTTATTATATGTAATAAATAGAACATTTTATCTCTAAAGCAGACGACTTCTTAAAAATTGTAGACCAGAGTAATTGCACAGATCTGGGAGTATATTCTCACATTTCTGCCTTCTCATGTTATTAGGAACTACCATAGATAAAAATAACATGGCCATAGAAGCTATGGTTAAAGTCAAATCTATTTGCTCTTATTTGTTTGTTTGTTTGTTTGTTAAATTTGTACCCTGCACCATCTGGCAACCAGAGCACTCTGGGTGACTAACAAGAGTATAAACTACAATATTAAAACACTATAAAATAAATAAATTAATTACAAGTCAAATAGGATAAATTAAAACAGACAGCAATAAAGGTAGTAAAAAAGTGTAATGGAGAAGATGACAAAAAAAGGATGGTAAAAGGGAGGCCGAGATCTTAATGTTCCGGGAAAGCCTGCCGGAAGAGCCAAGTCTTCAATGCTCGTTTAAACTCATCCATCGAGAGTGTCAGGCAGTTCTCAATGGGCAGGTTGTTCCATAATGTGAAGTTTAAAATTGGGATGGATCTATGGCCAAAATTTATTACACTTTAACAGAAATCCTGTTGGTTTTCACATCTGGGTAACCTTCTGCTAATTGTGGCTAATCGGCATGGTGCATCTTGTTTATGCAGTCAGGCACATTACCAGGCTGAGATGTGCCGAGCACCTAATCAGTTAGCCACGATTAGCTATAACAAGTTGTGCATATTATGTGAACATTGATATGTTTTTGATCAGTAATCTAAAAAGGTGTATGGTTTTACATTTCTGATGCTAGAGTTTCAGAGTTTATATATGCAAAAGAAGAAGCATATCAGCCAGGACACCACATTCACTAGCAGACAGTTCCACAATTCCAATTTCAGTCACATTACCTTTTGTATTAATGGATTAGAGTCAAAGACTCCCCACTATGAGTGTAAGAAGGGCTACTGATGGAAAGAAACTTCAGATCTGACCTAACATATTGAATATACTGTATGTTACGATCAGATTTCTTCAGAAGGTATTGGGCAGCTTGTCCTCCTGTTACACTCCAGGGTGTCTTTGTTTTTTGGCTATTCAGTGCTTTGCACCATTAGCTCCTTTGGGCACAAAAAACATACACAGAACACACACACACATACCCACTGAATGTGCTCAAAAGGAAAATATTAAGTTAATTTTAAAGATGGCCTTTCAAAGCCTTTTTACTATCCTCGTTTACTGGTTAACTAATACTGCCCCTTCCATTGCTTTGATCTTTTATACAGTTGTAACGTCTAGTATGAAAAGTTGCAAACCACTAAAATGTCAGATCGTGGCATGCATTTGTTCTCTTCTGGTTTTTCTCCAGTACCTTTTGTGGCCAACACTGTGTTCACTCTCAGTGTCACAGTCTGCTCTTCCACATTCATGTTGACAGGGGATGTTTCATCTGTAGAATGTCCCCTGTGTTTCTGCTTCTCCATTTCTTGTATTTTTTTCTTTCTACTTTCTTCTTATTGTTTCCTTTCTTTCTCACTCTTGTGCTTTTTTGTCCTTTTGCTTGTCTGTTTATTTTCACCCTGTTTCTCCTCCTTTCTTCCTCTCCACTTCCAACCTCCTCTTTCCTTCCCTTCTTCCTTTCCCATCTTTGGTCCTATTGAAGTTGAGCCCAATGCCGGGACACCACGCCGTAGACCTCTCTCCTTCTGCCCTTGCTGTGCCCACGAAGGTAATGTAATTTCTTGCATTCCCTCCATCCATTTCTCAAACTGCCATTGGATTGGCATAGAAACACTAGTCAGCTGGTGATAATATCAAGTGGTTCACTGCCAGACTTTCTTTCCCTACATTTTTCATTCTCAATGAAATCTTCTGCACAAGTCCTGTTATAAAGTGTGTCTGGCACTTCCTTAAAGGTACAGTATCCGTTTTATGTGTTGTGGGGGTTAAGATGTTCCACAGGTTATTGCCATCATTATCTAGAGTGGCTATGATGGCAACAGTGCCACGTCCTAAAACTCCTGTTTGATTTATTGGATGTCCTTAAGGGACAAAATGCTTTGTCTTTTGCAAGACGTGGTTTGCCCAGCTTCACTTGAGTTTGAAAAGCCAACATCCAGGCTGGTTTCTTGCAAGTCTATCCCCTGCTGTGTATACTCTTGACTTTATCCCAAGTGGACCAGCTTCATTGTAGTGTTTCCATTTTTCAAGTCATGGGGGAAAGGGATGGAATATGCTCTCCATGTGTAACTTCTGCTAACCACTATATCTGCTTTTGATGATGTGCTTCCATTAATCATTCATCCTTCTTCCCCACCCCTACTGTCTCTTTCTCTCTCTCTACTCACTGGCTGTCACAAAAGCATATGAACAAATATTTTCATAGGACCACAGTAATATGTATTTGGCTGTTTTGTTGAGAAGCTTTTCTCTGGTCATTTTCACAGTGGAAAGAGTGGCGAGACTTCCCAGTACAGTACTTTTCATGGCTTCACTGTACTGGGTATCTGCATGTATAAACTTCTTTCTCTCTCTCTACCATGGCTTATGAGGGCACCTTGTGCAGAGATGCTGAGAAAGGCATGATTGGAACTGAGCTATGGCAGAGTAGAATTTTCCACAAGGGTCTGTAAAAACTAGGGTTTGATTGTTCTGTGTTCTCTGTTATAGCTGTTTCAGTGGTTTGGAGTAGGAGTAAGTGAAGGATGCTGGTTTCCTGAGAATAACAGCTGGAAATAAGGCCACCAACAACCTCTCAAACAAACCTTGTGTAGTTTCAGGGAACCTCATTGTTTTTGTGACATTGACTGAAAGTATTTCTTGTTGTTATCAAGTGATCCCCATCGTAACAAATGACAGTAATGTTAGTGCTGTGTAAACAATGGTGATCAACCGCTTTCAAACAAATCCAGGGAAAAAGTAAAATTAGTATTCCTCTTCTCTACACAAGTGAAACTCTGAGAAAATACTAGTACACTTTGATTTAATGTTTGGTATGTTATCAATGGCCAGAGGGAAAAGTGTGGGCAGATTTGTCTTCCCTGACAGCTGACAATCTTTCCTTTGAACGATTCCTCTTTGGGCTTCCATAAATGAACAAAAGAGGAGCCTCTTTGGAGGGGAAAAAACAGAATAGATCTTAATGTAGATGTCACATACTCCTATGCAAATATTTTGCATTCTAAATTTTGCCCCCTCCTTTACCCTAGAGTTCACATTCTGTGAGAGATTAGAGCTTGTCTGTAGAATTAATGAGAATTAGAAATTAATCTCTTGGTGATGATCTACAATTTGACAGTACGTATCAGTTTCCGAAGCCATTTCAAGCATTCAAAAATAAAAACACATTAGGTAATAATCTTGGCCTTGGTTAGGCCAAGGTTCCCATACCCAGGATCACAAGCCAAGACCTCACTTACGTTTGAGCTGATTTTTCAGAGTCCAAGAACAAAATGGAAGTTGCCTGTAAGGAGCTGCTGTAATACTTTCTTAGGGATGGATTATGAACGTGGTTCTCTGAATGGTAGAATTCCCCAAGTATAAAATTACTGTGATGTTCACTTCAGGCTCTGCTGTCGGTTGAGTTCGTTGTCTGAGGTCGATTCTGGTTTTCAACTAAGCTGTGATTGAGATGCTTGAGAAGATTCTTCTCTTTCCCATTATTTGGAAAAGTTTGCAAATAATAGGTTTTCTTCTTGTGCTGTTCTATCATGGAGGAATAGACTAGAGCTGTTGACGTGCTTATGATGGAACCAATATTTATCAAAACTTGGTAGCAAAAGTGAAGGTTCTGTGGCACACATGTTGTGCCAGATTTCAGCCTTGTATAAATGATTAAAAATCAAGTGGGAGAAAAGGTATTGATGGCATAGACCAGAAACGGGTTGCTTTTGGTCATTAAGATAATATAGACAACTTCAAAAAGAAAAAAGCATAGCCTATATAACTACAGGATTGATGGAGTATATCGACAATATTGCTGGACAAATTCAGGTCTGAAACAACTTAGCAAAAATTGTAGGTATTGGATGTATGCAGTAGGCTGTCCATAAATAATTTCTATAGATGTATGTTAACAGTTTTGATGCATGTGAGCATCCATGCATCACCCCGTTACCTTGAAAAATAATTGAGAGCCCGTAACTTGAAATATAGGCTGTTCAGAACTTGAATGACAAACCTCTACCCAGGTCGGATGTATATAGTTCAGGATTGCCCTTACAGTATTTACCAAACTGAAAGAGAAGCAAAGTACTGGGTAAACATTTCTAATACTTTTTTAGCCTGATGGGAGGAGCAGTTGGGGTAGATAGATTCAGTCCATGTTGGTCCAGTGAAGTGGCTTTTTAAAAAAGAATTCAATGACATTTTAAAATTTAAACAGTAGGTGATCCCCTTTGTCCTGGGTGCTATAGGCAAACTAAACCAGCATATATGACATGAGTGCTCTGGCAGCATTTTGCTTGGCTTTCTTTGCACATTTTGCCCCCACCTTTTGCCCCATTTTTGCTCCTGGCTCTCTGTTAGGCCCATGGAATGGGAAAGCATCTTTCAAAAAAGCTCACCTCCGTTCTTCGTTTTGGCAGGCATGGGGAAGAAGGATGATCCGAAGCTGATGCAGGAGTGGTTCAAGCTGGTGCAGGAGAAGAATGCCTTAGTGCGCTATGAGTCGGAGCTGATGATATTGTAAGTGACAAGATAAGGCTGTCTCTGTGTCTGGCCTACACAGAGGGGCAAAGAGTGAGGCCGCTGCTTCTGGGCAGCTTTAACAGTTGTGGGACAGTAACCTGTCTTCACATTGGTTGTGATGGTGATGGATACCCAGGAAACCTGTTGCTCTCAAAGTAACAATAATTGGTAGGAAATCTGCTTTGGAAAAGATTAATGAAAAGTTCAGAAATTATGGACTTTAGACTTTCTGCACTTAATAGTAGCTAGTAATACTAGCTATTAATACTAGTAGCTAGTATTAGGCTAGTAGCTAAAATTCCAAATTATGGAAAGATCTAAGACTTCAGACCTTCTGCACTTAATAGTAGCTAGTATTGAGCTGCAAGCTGGTGTGGTTCAGTAGATAGAGTATTGGACTAGGATTCAAGAAGCCTGGGTTCAAATGGCCTCAGGCATAGAAACTCCGCCTAGAGTGGTCCTGAGTTGGCTAGATAGGTGGGATATAAATAAAATTAATAATAATAATAATAAATAATTCATCAGAGGGTGGCCATGAGCAAACTGCTCTTTTAATATCTCACATACATTGAAATCCCTATTAGGGTCACGGAAGTTGGAAGTACCTTGATGGCACATATAACAGCAACAGTTCTGAGTTAGATTGACCAGTGCATTAATTCACAGTAAGGTGGCTTCCTATGGCCTCGACATGGATTTCTCATAATGCATTTTTGAAAGCTTCTAATTAGGAAAGATTTTGACTTCCTCTGTATCTATGCAGAAAAACACATAGATACAGACTTCCTCTGTATCTATGCAGATGATGCTAAAGCAGTGGAGTGTAGCCTGTCAGATCAAGTGGTAGATTGTGAATGAGCTTGGCTTAGATGTCATACATTTTAAAAGTTCCACAAATAGAAATAAAGCAAAGGCAACGTGTTCTGACTTAGTCTCTCTGCTGTGCTAGTTTGATGATAAGAGAACCATAGCTTGGCTCAATGCCCCTTCTTCATCTCTAAAATAGCTAACTTTCCAAGTGTCTTTGATAGGTACTGCTAACCTTATATCATCATGAAGCTCTCTGAGCTCTGGGAATATTATATGAATGCTAGATAGTATTTTATGTTAACAGTGCTCCGTAGGTGTTCTAGGTATATCTAATAATTGACCAAGTATAGAAGAAACAAGCCGTAAAATAGCAGAGCAAGGGGAAATCAAAGTAAGATAAATTGTTTAAAAATGCAGCAGTGTCTACTAATGGTTCTCTAATATTCTTTAATTTTTTCCTTGTTCATCATTCCTGAAGAGGCCAGTATAAGGAGGAAAATCTGTTACTTGTAGCATCATGGAAATCAATTATTTTAAAGAAACCAAAACACTGGATTTTTCAAATTTCAATTGGATTTTTCCATTTAAATCAGATTTTTTAAAAAATAATTGTTGAAATGCTTTTTGTTTTAGAAAAGCTTTATGGAATAATACTTTTTATTTAAAACGTGTTATGGTCCACTGATCTAATTATGAAATAAGCATTACATTCTATATTATGCAACAGTGAATTCATATATACTTTTCCTAACAAGTTTTATAAATAGGGTCCAGCATTTCTTGGATTGGGCCTCAATTCTGTCATATTACTTCGGCTTCTGCATAGATTATTTAGGTTGATCTCAGTACTCAGTTTGGCAGATACTATTAATACAGTCAGCAATTCTCGAACTTGGGTTATGCCTCTAGATATTAACATATGGAGATGAGCCATTAAAAAACCTATTAGCCCTGTTTTCAGCTCTAACCTAAGTTGTTCCTGGAGCTTTTTTCCCCTTTTGACCTGATACTATGTTGGAAGTTCTTAGAAGCCCCACGCTTCAAAGCCTCCAAGCTTGCTTTCAACAGTTCCCTGTGTGAGGTTCATTCCTTCTGACCAGAGCTTTTGCCTGTATTGAACTTCTGTGGAAACAGTTGTCCAGCCCTTATCTCCTTCTCTTCAGAGTGCAAAGTTTCAGACAGTGGAGGAATCAATAAATAGCGGATTCTTGGAAGTGTCAACAGTCTGGGCAAAGAGATAATGAAAAACATATCCTGAGATTATAGCAAGAAACAGGGCAATTTCTTCATCTGCCAAAACAAGAGCCCATAATTAAATCGACTCTTTCTGAGGATGTAAATAATTATTTAAATCAATTTGATTAAATAAAATCCACCCTACTTGTAACTCAGTGCTGATTGGGGCAAGCACTGGGAGAGAGGAGAAATTAGGGATATTTCTAATAGCATATTCTTTTTGATTGCTCTTCAGCTTTCCTGGTCATCTCACAGCTTGGATTTAGGTGGAAAGGGAAAGTTTATTTGTTCCTCAGAAAAGTAGTTTGAAAGAAGAGTCCTGAAGCGTTTCTCAACTGTTAGGACCAAAGAAAGTGGAAAAATAATTGGAACGCACTTCATGTCAGCTGTTTATAGATTCTTGCTGAAATAATCCCAAATAGAGTTACGTCCATTGTTTATTTTCCCTTGTAGTGCTCGAGAGTTGGAGCTGGAAGACCGGCAAAGCCGGCTACAGCAAGAGCTTCGGGAGAGGATGGCAGTGGAGGGTGAGTTTTGTAGGGGCACCTTTTTCCTGAGCAATAATCCCCAGTTTAAATCCGTGGATATCTTTTACAAGTCCACTTGCCTTCCTCTCTGTCTCTATAGATCACCTAAAGACAGATGAAGAACTGGCAGAAGAGAAGAAGATCTTGAATGAAATGCTGGAGGTGGTGGAGCAGAGAGATTCTCTTGTGGCTCTCCTTGAAGAGCAGCGGCTCCGAGAGAAGGAAGAAGACAAGGACCTGGAGGCCGTCATGCTGTCCAAGGGATTCAACTTGAACTGGTCTTGAGCTTTGCGCCACACTCGACTGCTGATCTGTGTTGTCCAATTGGCATATGCCAAGTTGGCTGGAGCTGCCTGGATGGAGGAGACATCTTGGTGCAGACATCTCACGAGGGTTCTCACTGCATCTGAATGCTTGTTCCAGCAGCTTCTTTCTAACGGGGGTTGGGTCTGAAGGTGCTGAGTCCTGTGTAGGATTTGCAAACCCAAATCTGAAGTGGTGGTGGAGGTTGCGTGCCTTCCTCAAGGACCTATGCAAGAGGCCATTGAGTTTTTGTGACCTCTGAGAGAGACTAAAAATGAGAGGGAAATGTTTTGTTGTTTAAAAAAGAATAACAAACCCAGGTGGGCCGTAGCTTGTCTCTTTCACTTTTATTGAGTTAGTGGTGTTCTTGTTTGTTTAAATATGAGGAGAGAACTGGGTCCTCTCTTCCGAAATGCAGCAGCCCTTGGGAGAGCAAACCCCTCACTCCTCCAGAACACACTGTGTTCCATGTGTTGAAGTTCTCCTCACCAAAGAAGCCTGAAGCTGCCATTGTTGTCTGGGCATGGAGGAGACAGAGAGGACTAGAAACTTAGAAGGCTAACTGGCTCGAAATAACTCCCCCTTGTACTTTCCACAAATGACACAGTCCTGGGCCAAGCTTGCTTTCTTCACTGCAGCCTCCATATGTTGCCATTGTCCTGAGAGGGGGACAGACATGTGAGCCCTTCCTTCCCTGCCATACCATGCTCTGGACTGAAAGGGGCTGTTTTCTTTCTCTGCTGACTTGAGACTTCACTTGATTATGAACTTTGTGCTCATTTTGACACTGGAACGTGTGGATTATGAACATGGGTTAATAATGAAACATTTCAAGGGAGCTCTTGGAGAATAAGCCCCGACTTCAACTCATCCCCCACCCCCATGGACCTCAAGAACTGTTTGTATGTGTTTTTTGTTCTTGTTGGGGTGGAGAGGAATCACATTGTCTTTTTTGCACGTTGGAAATGAAGCAAAACCTGGCCCTTTAGTCACTTTAGAATCTTTAATGTCCATTAACTTATTTTTTTAATACTTGAAAACAGATTTGGTTTTGTACATTTTTAAGAAATGAACAGCTGTGCGAGTGGTGAATCTGTGTGCCTGCTTCGTTCCCCAACCTTTGTGTTTGTCCTTGTTTTTAATTTGTTGGTTTCCCATCCCCTGCATCTATTTATTAGAGTTATTAATGGTGTTACTGTTACACACTACATGTTGATCTGATTTTTTGCTTCTTCAGCTTTTCAGTTGCAGATGATTGGTTCAATTTTGGACTTGGCCCCACACCACACTGAAAGATCTCTCGTGATGGACTCCGACATCCCCACTCGGAAAGAGGACTCAGAAACTGAGAGCAACGAAGACAAATTTATTTTGTGCACTCCAAAATCTCTCTGTCTGTTCTGTGAAACTAGACAAACTGTGCTTATTTTAACTACTAGCGTAAAATTTCTGTTGCTAGAATGGCAACATTGCTTTTCACCCTCTATAAAGAGCAGTCCATTCTGGCACGATTCACGCTGTTTCCAAGGGAAAAATTAGCACAAGTCTTACTGCTTCTGATCAAAGGCACCACCTGGTTGGCCCAGGAATTGAGGCCTTTTCCCAGTGCAACAACAAAAATATCATTTTTTATTGTTAGCCGCCCAGAGTAGACTTGGGTCTAGATGGGTGGGGTATAAATGTAATAAATAAATCAAAATAAATTAAAAAGGACATAACACAGAATTAACTCTTGCCCATCACCAGCTGAGAAGTTACCATAAGCACACAATGTCCTGTACCATATCTTTCTCAAAGGTGCCAGCCTACATGTTATAGGCCTTTCCAATCTTTTTTTAATCTCCTCTCAGCTTTTTTTAAAATAGATGTTCTTTATTTTTATCTCTGTGTTTTTGTTCATTTTTTTTATTTTAAATTAAAAGGAATTGGCAGTTCAGTGTATCAGAAGAGTGGTGACCACTCAGAACGAGTCCTTTGTTGCACCTTCAGTTGCTAGATTTATTGTGAACTGTCCAGACTAATGCTGTGGCACTAACGAGAGTGGCATATTAAATTGAAATAAGAAAGAAAGAAAGAAGTTCCTGTAGTGTAGAAAAAAAAGTATTTCAGCAGTTTCTGCATCTCCAAACATTGCAATAATGTGAAGGGAAAGGATACATATTCTGACACTATCTGTCCTGCCCAGTTATTGAAATTATAGCATCTTTGTTGGTTTGACAAGTGGAGGAGAGTTTGGGTTAGTACTTCCTGTCTCTTGCTGGCAGCAGTCATCTCTGAGCAGCAGTGTACTACTTCCTGAAGGCAGCCTTAATTTTCACTTCTTTTGGAAATTACAGAACTAGAAGCAGAAATTATTCTATAGCTTTTTTTTTAGTGTTGACAGAGGCCTTTCTTTCCATGGAAGTCCTCAGGGTTGGAGTGGTATACACTGAACTCTCAAGGGAGTATTACGGCAGCTCTGTGTTAGCCTAGAAATTAAGATCTGTAGGAGACTGAACTGGTATAGTTTCAAAGCATATGTTTTCCCTTTCAGCTAGCAAAAACCTGTGAGCATCTTAATTCTGCTCAGAATAGAATGGCCAGATATAAAAAGTGGCTGTTGATATTTGTAGAAAAGCGGGAGACTGAACTTCAAGCATACACCCGAAATTCCCTTTTCTTCACAACTGGGAAAGGTACAGGAGCCTTGTCATCCTCTGCATCTTGCCACCCTGGTTGAAGGAGCTGTGGGCTAGGTTTCTGCAAGGACTTTACATGCAACTATGCACATAGCCTAATGAAATGAGAAGAGCAGAGTCGGAAGCCTCTCTTGCACAGCAGATTGGAAAGCCTTGTCTGTAGATGGCTGTTCTGTGTCTTTCATAAGACCCTGGCAAAGAGTGCTCAGTAGGTTCAGCATTTTTTTTCATTCCAGTGCTGTGGCAGGAAAACCTAAAGTATCCCATCTCACCTCTTCAATGTATCCTTGGCCTTTGCCTCTTCAAGATTTCAGGCAAAACCTAACATAATATAAAATGAAAATATAGAAAACCCCAGTGTTCATACTCACCGGCTCTGTTATGTACTGAGGAAAAATTATGTTCCATTCCTGTACAACTGTTATTTATTTAAAAATTAGATCCAATAAGTAGTTCTTGAGAATTCATAAATGGCAGATGTGGCTGCATTTTTCTATATCGAAGCTAGGAAGTAGAACAGTGAGGTAATATACCAAAGAAAGGTATTCCCCCTTCTTTAAGGTATCAGACACTCAGTAACTACACAGGAATTTCCCAAATTTGTAGGAAGAATATAAAGCTAAATATAGTAGACAAAGAAAAACGTTAGTAATGTTCAGAAAGATTTCTGTTTTTTTTTCAAGGAGGCAAAACGGTGCTTGCTTTAAATATTTTAAGTAAATTTCTCTAATTAGTTCTGAAAATTGATACACACTATATCAATTTGATACCTAATATATCCAGAGATCTTGAAATGTCATATCAATAATTTAAATAATTGTTTCACTCAAAACTTATCTTTTTCTAACCACTGGTAGTAAAAAGGGAAAATTATATTTCCTAATACTCCTTGTTAACACCTTTTATCTGAATACTGTACAAGGTTGTAACATACTGCAACCACAGTTCTTTTGCTCCATAATTTGTTTCCCAACTGATATTTGACGAGGAAGATGTTACCTTCAGGAACTAAAAATGCAGCTTCAGTATCCCATAAGCTTCAGATCAAATCATACTTAAAATTATGTATGGCTTTGCAGCCCCCTAGAATCAATACGCTAAACTGCATGTTCTTTGTAATTTTCCTCATTAAATCCAGATGAATGACACAGTTCTATCTAAGGTTCTTCCACTGCTAAATTTCCTTTCATAGAAAATATCAACAACAACATAAATTTGTGTTTCTGAGTGTGAAGTATAGAACCAAAGAAACTCCCAGTATCTTATGTCTTAGCTATTATGGCTGTTCTATAGACAGTATTGCTAAAAGCAAGCAATGAACTATATTTAAATAATCAAATAATTGTATGTTTCCATTATTTAATTTAGTCAATACAAAATCCTCTCCAGTGATTTGCAACATTTCTCTTAGTATCCTTCCAGCACAGAATAGCAGGGTCCCCGTTGTCACTCAGCCTGGATCAAAACAATGGGAATTGATAATTTTGTCCTGGCCCTATATGTGATGTCAAAAACAAACAGAGGCAATTAAAGTTTGAAAGATAACATCTAGCTACAAGACTCACATATAAGACCCAATCACACAAAAACACTAATACTCTAGCTACCTGCTTACCATATTCTAGCTTCTGTATGACTGTCTTCAGGCTAGCCAACTTATAGAACTGACTACTTCAATATTCTAGTTCCACCCCAGCACTTCAAAACCTGTATTCTAAATTCAATGTCTTCTACGTCACTTCTTTATCTGGCTATTCTGGTAACCAAATTTGGCCTGTGTTGCATGCGTAAGAAGGTGGAAAGCTCTCCTGGCAATCTAAAATGTCAACAATCCAAATTCGGTAGCTATTACAGTAAACGAAAATGTATATTTCCATAGCTTTCTGAAACCTTTTGATTTCTTGGGCCTTTCATGCCTCATTTGTTTCATCCAGTGGTTGGCACAAACTTGTTTTTACCCTGAAATGTTTGCAGGGTTGGGCACCATAACTGTGAAGGCATTCAGACCATAATGTACAGAGTGATCCTGAATGGCAATGCTGTCTGGCAGAAGATTGCACAGAACTTCTAGTCTCCTGAAGTATATTTTATGTGGGGCAATGTTGGTATTGCTTCAGGTGCTAGCTAGAGTGGAATATTGTTTCAGAATTGATGGCAAAGGTTTATTCCTGCATGCTACTTGTTGAATAGTGAGAGACTGGGAAGGTTCTGCTGAATAGTGAAAGAGTGGCAGATGTGCTCTGTACCTGGGAAGAGAGTAAGCAAACTTTCTGTGCTCGTTGGTTGTTCTGAGATTAAATTGGATTCCACTCCCCCTTTTTTCTGGAGGCCATTACAGAGATAAGATTACTGTGAGCTCCTAGCATTTAGTGAGAAGAGATAAAGATAGCTTCAGTTATCTGATGGAAGCTTAGGCAGCATCTTTCATGCCTCTGAGGTCCAATAGGAAGGAGTTGTAGTAAAAGGCTGAGAACTGGAAATAAGTTCCTCTTCTTTAGAATGGAGCTGGTCAGCTACAGCTGCAGTTGCTATAATTTGATGTCAACTTTTGTGACTTGAAAATGACAAAGTGTGGTTTATATTGGACTTAACAACTGGATGCCCTCCAGATGTGTTCAGTTGCGCCTTCCAGTTCAGTGGCTGGGAGATTTTGGGAATTGCAGCACACTCTGGTAGGGGAGATACAAAGAGGTAGCGAAGTCTAATTTATCATCAATCATTTTTACTGTTCTTTAAATAATTACAGTTCAGTTGAGAATATATATCATACTGTGTAGCAGCAGTAATCTGGCTAAATTCTTTGTATTTTTGTATGTCCTTTTATCACTGTAAAAAAGTGTTACATGCACACAGCCTGAAGTAAGTCATATTTCCTTCCCAAACTCCTTATAACTTTTTGGGGAATGTGGAGAACAATCTTGCTGAGAACATAAACGGGAAGTGTATTTCAGCACACTACAAAATTCTCTCCAACTAAAGCTGCATTTGGCCTGCTAACTTTGTTTGGGCACCCCCATCACAGTACAATTACAGATAGAACTAGCTTTCTAAAGCCAACGGAGGTATCGGATTGATTATATTTGCTCTCCCCACATTTTTAGTATTTCTTGTAATATTTTGTGTTCACCATGCTCACTTTTGCAGTCTATTTGTTTTCATTTCAGTGTCCAGCCCTCTTTTTAGGATTTGGTGCTAATTGAGAAGTAACAAGCACACTTGTGGCACCCTTTGTGGGTTTTTAATGTGTGTGTGTGTGTGTGTGTGTGTATTTTTAAACAGAGCAAATCCAGATCAAGAGCATTTTTTGAGCAGCCACAATAATATCTCAGTTTGCATGATGTTCTATTGCAATCTTTATTAAGGCAAGAAAAAAAAGGAAGGAAAAAAAGGCAACCCCCAACTTGACATTCTCCTTTAGTTTGGATTAAGAACATATGTTTAAGTGGATGTTTACGCTTTGACTGTGGGACAACATTGTGTATAAAAAAGTTTTCCAACATTGTGTATAAAAAAGAAAAAGTACCGAAAATGCTATACGTTGGGAATGTTGTTGTTTGCAATAAAAAAAATTCACAGAACAGCTTGTTTGGTATTAAGAGAGGGGAAAGGGAATTGGGGGGATTATATTCTGATGGTATTGCAGTAAATTAATTTTGTTTTACAATATAGAAGTATGTATTTTAAATCCAGTCGAGCTGAAGGGATTTAATGTTGTATCTTCCCCTTTGAACAGGTGGGAACTCTGATATTCAGACTGTTTTACAGTTGGCATGTGTGCAGTGTAACAGGAAATTGTGTACTGTACTGTACTTTTTCTTTGTCAAAAAACACTTCTGAACCCCTTTTACTTCCCCTTTGGTTGCGTTTCATTCTCTCTATATTCTTATGCACACTTGCTTTGTTGGTGTTGAGATTTTAGCACCTCGGGTCGCCAACGGAACTAAAAGAGAAAAAAAAAATAAAGTCATTAATTTTTTTCTTACATTGCGACTGGAGTTTGATTAGCTTTTTGCATCAGACCAATACCAAATTAAAAGATGGGGAAAGAGTGCTATTGCCCAATAATTCTAATCATGGCTGGCACGTTGCCTCCTAACCCCCAATGATTATCCATACAGTTTAATGTTAGGGCCCAAACAGTTTAATGTTAGGCTCTTAAAACATTAATTAATCACATCCTAGTAGCTAGTTAACACAATGTTACCAGTAGCATTAATATTTTGAAGCTCTGACCTGAGAGTAAAAAGACCTCCATGTTCATTTTCTCAGCACCATGTATAATTTTATACACTTCTAAGATGTTCACTTTTTTTCCAGAATAACAGTTGTGATAACTTTTCCTCATAAGGGAGATCCTCCAGTCCCCTCATAATTTGGCAGGGGGGCTCCTATGGCATTCTTTCAACTTTGTAGTATCTTTTTTTGAAGTTTTTTACAAAGCGAGAGACCACTGTTGGCCAAAAGGGAGGGGAATTCTCTTATTGCAAATGGCTAGGATCACAAATACCAGCCTATTTCAGTTTCAAGGTCTTTCTGACAATAACAGTTTTAGGAGGAGTATTTCATAGTATTAGAATGGGGGAAACTCCCATGCAAAAGTTGAAAATCCCCAAATGAAGAAGTAATGGGGTAGGTATGTGTGTTATAAACTCAACATTCTATTTCTAATCCATTTCCTAATTATTCCAGTATGGCATTTGTCTGCTTTCACAGCTGCCATCCACTTGGTTGATATCTTAATCATTTACTATATGTCTTAGATCCTTTTTCTAATCAGTCTGCTGGCTCAGACCACATCAATGTATGTGTGGAATTAGAAAAAACTGCCCCAATAGACATATTTCACTTACTTTGAGCTGCATATGTTATTTTTATGTCTCCATTTTGGCAAAGCATCAGTTTTCTGAAGGAAGTGCTGTTGCTTTCCTTGATAGAGTTCATTAACTTTGCTGATAACTTTTCAGACATGCTGGTATCTTTCCTAGTCTGCAGACTGTTGCAGATCTTTGAATTGTCTTGGTTGAATTCCTCTAGCCGTGCAGCAGAGGTGCAGGGATGCACTCAGCAAAATGGCTTCAAGTTCCTCAAGATAGTCCACCCCTTTTTCTCATTAAGCTGGCATTTATAGTCTTAATAAATTGCTCAGAGACATTTGTAAGTTAAAAAATAAAGCTGTTTCATTTACTTACAGTTGAACAGATCAAACAGCAAGCTAATAAACATGACTGGTTTCAACAACAGACTTCAACAGACTCTTGAGAGGGAAAGAGACACACTGAGCAGAGAGGTGGGGCTCTTTGAATTCAGACGCAGGGGAAAAATAATTGGTTAGTGCTAGATAGATTGACAGTAACTCCAGTCCAGAAAGGTCCTTCCTAACCAAACCTATTAAAGTCAGCATGTGAAGTTGCAGAAACCCCAACATGGACTACAGTCTACTTGAGCTTCTAAGAATGTGGTTTGAAGTAATCCTCAAGTTTTTCTACCTCATATTTACTCATGTTCAGGTTTCCTCTCCTTTTAAGTCAAAGCATTACTTTCCAATTGGCTGCTTGCATTAGGAATGGGCAACTTCAGAGAGGGGCCCCCATAATTTTCTGCTGCTGGAATCCTTCTGGGACAGCCAGACAGCCAAAAATACCAAAAACTCCAACCAGCATGAAAAATGACTGGAGGTCTGTTTGTGATTTCAAAGATTTGGGGGTTTTAGAGCTATTAAACATTTGGTGATGACTGCTAACTTACATACAAATTTTACACTTTGCTTACTGCTAACTTACATATGCATTTAATTAGATAGCTTGTAATTAATTATCACTGTTGCTGCTTAGTCCAGCAACTGTTGCAACCTACACCACGTTGTAGATACCTCTAGGGAGGTAATCCTGGACTCAATTTACACCTCTCTGTAGTGACACAAACACATGTATCAAGTCAATAAGAGAATAACTGAAGTCACCAGTTATTGCCATATTTATAATTTATTAGTTCCAATTACAGTACATCGCAAGATCTTTCCATTGAGTGAAGGGGAGTGTACATAGCTCTCATATTCACAGTTCCATGTAGGAGCTCCAGATGAAAGAGTAACTGGCTGGGGATAACCCAGTGAATTTCACGGCTTTAGTAAGTTTTGAATTATTGGATCTCTTAAACACCAATCCAGCACTCTAACCTCTATGACACACTAGTTCTGTGTATTTCCCTAATGTAATCTCACCTGATATTTTTAACGTATCCTAACTTAAGTACTTTGTGAAGTCTTTATACACCTAGATGGTGATATTATGGCATATCTGGACCACTTGTGAATGCTGGGGACAAATGTATCTAAGGTCTCTCTAGACTATGCTCCTTGAATATATGAAAAATGGCTGTGACCAGCTCGCCTGGCTAATAACTTTTCCAACTCTCTAGTCCCTTTGCTGGGCTATCCTTAAGAGCCAAACTAATTCAACTATAAAAGAAACAATAATGTATTTTATTTTATGAAACCTAATGATTATACAGCACAATTCTTAGTCGTGGAGTTTCTTGTGTGTTAGAACCAACTTTCTAACTATAACAAGTTCATTCGTAACAATGTAGCCATGACAGACAATTCTCTTTTGGAAACTCATACTACTATGCTGATAAACTATGTATCAACCTTCCTCCAGACCTCTGAATGTTAACTCACTCTCAACTTAAAACTTTCTCCCTCAGACTCCTTTTCCCTTGCCTTGAACACACTAGGCAAGTCATGATTGGCTGAGCCCTGGCCAATCAGCTTCTACTTGCTGACACTGAGTGAGACTGCCCATCACATACCTGACCAGTTCTTATATTGAATATTCACTCTAGCCAGGGGCGCTCTAAATGGTAGAGATCCAAATCCTTTCAGTAAAATTGTTTTGTTAGGTAATATGTTTTCTTTTGGGATCACATCAGAGTGGCACACACACGTTTGTGGAGACGTGTCACTTAAACCCCAGATATCTTTGTCCCCAACCTTAATCCTTTGGCCACACTCCTGTGCTAATTCTGGATCCACTGTAATGAATAGGCAGTGTTTTACTTCAGGCCCTGACTAGCTTCTCCCGCACTTGTCAGTCCTGTTTCCATGGCAACCTACCTGCTAGCTTCACATTTTGTATCTGGCTACTTTCTGAAGGCTGAAATGTTGAAAATTAATAAACAACTTTTCCTGAGTTAGGTTTTTCTTTGGCATTTTTCTCTGAACAGGTATAACTGATGTTCCCAGATTTTTGACAGACAAAGCAAATTTTACATTTTCCCCCATTTATCTTTTTCCAGCTGTTTTTCTCTTGTACTTCCCTCATTAAGATGAGGTGATTTTTCTCTGGGTCCTGCCTTTTCTCCTTCAGAGGTTTCCCTGGTCTTGTCTTGTGATCCAGGATTGCTATTTCCAATTCCCTCATCCTTAACTTAAATTTCTTTCCCTCTCAACCTTATTTTTTTCCTTTTCTATTTCTAGCCTTTGTTTTTTCCCCTTTCTAATTCCTTTTAATTTCTTTTTCTTTTAATTCCAGTGCCCTTAACATTATTTCTTTCTCCTGTTCCAGATTATTTTCAAATGTCCACACTTCTAAATCCCATGGGCCCTCACTAACCATAGGGCTTGTGAGTGGAATCCCATCCATTCTCTCAGCATCAGCTTGGTCTACTTCCTCAATCATATTTCCTTACTATTGCCTTAAAGCTTTTACCTCAGAAAATATTCAAACTGATCCTGATACAGTACTTGTTTCTTTATCCAGATTAAGCTTTCACAGTGGCTCCTTACTTTACCCAAAATTTTTACCTCAGGAGTTTACTGCACTAATGGTAGTTAGCTCAGTCAGTCTTTCAGCAATTCTCTTACCACTTTTAGCTCAGACGTCTACCTCAGAGAACTGCTCTGCTGGCTTGTTTTATTTTTCCAGCGTCTCTTTACATTACCCAAAAGGTTTACTTCAGGAGAACACTGCTTAATTAACTTGGTCTCCCCCAACTTTCCACTGATTCTCCCACCATTTACCATAAAATTATACCTCAGAGAATCATGTTAGCCAACAGGGCAACTGACCTTTTTGAAATAAATCCCAACTCTCCTTCTAGCCACCAGGTTTATAAATTCACCTAGGATTTGTCCAAGACCACTTCAGGAGGTCCAAAATAATTCCTAGATTTTTGGACTGTACTCCTCCACGCTGGCCCACCACTATTTCTCTCATACCTCTCCTGGCTTTTCAAAATAAAATTTCTATTGGATACTTTGTATCCCACTGCTGCCACCAAAATATGTTACCAGCCCGCCTGCCTAATAACTTTCCAACTCTCTAAACCCTTTTCTGGGCTATCCTTAAGCCCCAAACATAAGAGCTAAACTGATTCCATTGTAAAATAAATAATAATGTATTTTATTTTATGAAGCGTAGTGGTTATGTAACAGAATTCTCAGTCATGTGTGTTAAAAAAAGTTAAAAAACCAACTTTCTAACTGTAACAAGTTCATTTGTAACAATGTGGCCATGATAGACAATTCTCTTGGAAACCCATACTAGTACCATATGTTGGTAAACTATGCATCAACCTCCCTGTAGGCCTCTGACTGTTAACTCTCTCAGCTGAAAACTCTCCCTCAGACTCATTTTCCCTTCCCTTTAACCCACCTGGCAAATAATGATTGGCTGAGCCCTGGCCAATCACCTTCTCCTTGCTCACATTGAATGGCCATCTCTTAATTTTTAGGAACTTAATTCAGTACATTTCAAGGGGGTCACTAAACATCATGTGCTTCGCACAACCTGCAAGAAATTGTCAGGGTCTCAAGTCTGTGGGAATAACCTAAACATTAAACATTACTCTTTTAACAGTGACTCGCACCTTGAGACATACAAGTAATGCAGTGAAGCAAACTACTGTGTATTATTTTCTCAGTGACACTTCAATGACAGTAAACATACATAGAGAATGTATGTGTTTTTCTTTAATTACCCTGCTTTATATATTAGCACTGATTATGCAGGGGTTAATATTTTGCCCATGCTAGAAACAAATTGCTGGGGATGTGGGTGGTGCTACAGTTTTAACTGCCAAGCAACTGGCCTGTCAATCAAAAGGTCAGCAATTTGAATCCATGCAATGGGGTGAGCTCCCGTTGCTTCTCCCAGCTCCTGCTAACCTAGTAGTTCGAAAACATTAAAATGCAAGTAGATATACAGGTACCACCTCAGTGGGAAGATAATGGCATTCTGTGTCTAGTCATTCCAGACACCTGTCCACGGAAAGTGTCTACGGACAAATGCCAGCTCTTCAGCTTACAATTGGGGATGAGCACCAGCCCCTAGAGTTGGACACAACTGAACTTAATTGTCAAGGGGAACCTTTACGAGACAAAGTGAAATTTGAATATCCCCACACAGCTCCTCTTACAGCAGATAGATGGTGCTATTTCATAGATTTTTGAACATTTGAAAGAAGAATTAATGTAATTAAAGTGAAATAAAGTGGAATGATGAGTATGGATTCAGGATAATAGTTGTATTTATGAAGCAGTTACACAGTATTGGGCATAATGGTACTGTACTAGCAATAATGGTAGTGTTTGTTGTGGTAGCAATAAATATATGAACAGTGCAAAATGTTCAAAATTGCTTCTGTATTAGTCTGCTTCAGAAAAACAAAGAACAACAACAAGAAGAGGAAGAAGAAATGTTTTAGCACATGCATTCATGCATTTCAGGAGATAGGTATGGTTAGGGAGATCAAACTTGCATATAGACCTGTGTCTTCAATACTGTATATTCTATGTATTTGAAAATGATAGTCCCTAAAAATTATGCTAAAATGTGCCAGAACACTGTTGTTGTGGTTTTGTTATAGTACAAAATAAGTGTTGTGCAGAAACAAGTCCATTACATTCACAATAAGTCTTGTTTTGACTATCCTGGTGCCTGGATTGCTTTAAACTGAATGCAGGTTAAACATCAACATCAGATATTTAAGTCCAACATCATAATGTCCGCATCCCTAGAGTAAAATCTGATGTCATTTTCTTGACTTATGAGGGGAGTGCTCTGAAATACAGTATCTACTCCAAATCTATATCTGAATGTTGTACTAGTGATACATCAGTGGAGGGAAGGAAGGTTTACCATTTATAGCAGTCACATACTTATGAGAGATGACACAAAGCGCATGACCCATGGCTCAGAATATCACAAAGATTTTGAATTAATACACCAGTGTTGTTGCTGTTGTTATTTGTAGGGAAGAGTTTCAGCGAGGAAGCCCACCCAACAAGGTCAGTACACTTTCCTAAGTGACAAGACAAAGCCCTTGGTTTTGGTGCACAAAATAGCAAAAAGCTTTGGGATTGGATTTGAAGGCATACTGACGTTAAAGAGAAATTGTGTTTTTAATATGCTCTCTTTCCATCTCAGTTCTTTCTCTCCTTCCTTTTTCATAACCTGGTCCAAGAAGACTCCCTGATAAGTTGTGCAATTATATTTTGACCTCTGTGCACTAGAAAACAGGTAGAATTATATCACTAACCAGCAAAGACAGTACAGTTCAGAGCAGGCAAAGGAAATGCATGGGGTTTTCCCATGCAGTCTACTCTGCCCTCTACCCAGGCCCAGTGGGGGGGGGGAGAACAGTGAACTGCCCAAGGAGGAAGTGAATTATGTCTGTTCCATGCCTTACATCAGTATGATGTCTTTTTGTTTTGTTTTAAAGTAATTCACCCAATTGAAATGAAGGCAAAGTGCATATATCCCCAGCTAGGATAAATTCCAAGAACAGCCATGGGTTTCACTTTCTATTGGTACAAAAGAGGAAACTGTTAATGTCTTGTCCAAAAAATGCTAACCTCTTCTTTATTTTCCAGTAATAAACCTGTTGAACTTGAGGCAGGAAAAATGCTGAATAATCCATTCCCTTCTTCTTAAATTGTTTTGTTGTGTGATGTCAACCATTCCTAAGATAGCAAAGGCAAAGATAATTTTTAAAATAGTTTTATCAACATAAAAATAATAATCAGTATTAAATCAATTTTTTCTAACCAAACATTAAAAAAACAGTGTACACATCTAATCTGGTGCAACTTCCTGTCTCTTTTGTTGTGATATTGTGAAACAAAAAGCCATTATATTTTCCCATTAATAGAGTAGTACACAATTACTTATTTGTTAATACATGCTTTCAAGTCACTTCTGATTATTAGTGATCTCCAAAAAGTCATGCCACAACAGCTTTGCTCTAATCAACGCCATAATTTTTTTTGAGTCAATCTATTAAATGTTTGGTCTTCCTCTTTTCCTACTGCCTTAAATTTTCCTAGCATAACTGTAATTCCCAGGCCCTTTCTACTTTTCCTCATATGTTCAAAATACAATGGACTAGGACCTATGGGATCTGGGTTAAAATGTGCACTCACCTATGGAACTCACTGCCACCTTGGGCCATCACACATTCCCAAGTCTGACATGTCTCACAGATTTGTTTCAATTAAGGTAGGGAAGCATCATTTTCACTGTCTTGAGATCTTTGGATGTAGCAGTAATTTTTTGGGGGGTGGGGAGTAATAAACTATAACCATACACAAGAGGTGAAAGTCCAATACATCCATCATACCTTTTCTTGGAACACAAACACAGCAGTCAGCTGTTACTGCTGCAACAACACATGATTCAGCAAGGAAAGTACCTCCATGCGTTATTTTCTGAAAGTAGAAGAAGGTGAGACCTTTATTAGACTACTGTCTTAAACAGTTAACACAAGCTTTCATGGATTAAAAAAACTTTCTTCATGCATACACTTATGGGCAGTACAGAAAAATTATAAAGTAATGTCCCAAAAATTAATAGCAAAGATTTGCCAGGTATACTCTTAAGGTGAATTTAAAATTGGTTATAGGAAGGCTTTGAGAATGTGGTTTAATGATTTACTCCTGGTATTTCTAAAAGTATTTCCAATTGTCCGTTCATCACTGGAGAGCATAGGAGGATTCCTCTGGTGCCACAGCTCACTTGTACAACAGGGAAATTCCCACATTCTTTCTCACTGGGCCTAGAGGCCACATCTCGAAGAAGCACACATTAGGTAAAACAGCTGAGCTGAAAGTCAGTGTCACAATTGTTAAGGAAGCACCACACCCATTCATCTGTAAGGCCTTCATTGCTTCCTTCACAGTCACAATATGTGCGGAGACTGTGTGTTGTGCAGCACCCTGGGTGTATCCCATGGAAGTGTGCTTAGCATTACAGCCTCACCAGTGAACCAGAAACTTCCTGGTTCAAATATTTTCAACTGGTAGGAACTCCCAGCAAATGGTCTTAAGTTGGAGTGCTGCTACTCAGCCCCACATCTACAGGAACTATAAGTAAACCAAAACCAGAAGTACTGATGTACTTTCTGATACCTCTGGTTGAGAGACTTGGTTATAGAGGCATGTGACAATGTTTGTTTTTATTTGTCGCCGTTACACATACTGCAACAGACTAACACAGCTTATCTCTCTGAGGCTACAAATCTGACCTTCTCTATGGGGGTGTTGCAGTGATGACTGGAAGAATGTATGGAAAGGATGATGACCCACTTAGTACAGAAATAAGAAATATTATTTATTTATCTGATTTCCCCCCCCCCAGACCTTTTCTCTCTAGTGGCAACTTAAAAAAAATAAAAAACAAAATAATTTAAGGCCAGCCATGGAAATTCACTGGAGCTCTGGAATAACCACTCCTTAAATATCTCACTTAGCTTGAAAGCCCTATGTTTCCAACTGGATAGCATAATGCAACAAATATATACATAAAATTACTTTTATATGCAGTATATACTATATCTTCTTTCCTAGCAAATTGCCCACTGTCAGATGGTGGACTGCAACCTCCAGTGGGGAT